CACAGGTGAAAGGCCATTTTCATGTGTGACTTGTGGGAAAGGTTTTAGGGGAAAACAGAGTTTAACTCAGCACATGATGATTCACACTGGTGAAAAGATGTTTTCATGTGTGGACTGTGGAAAAATCTTTAGGCAAAAACAGCATTTCACTAGGCATATAATGATTCACACAGGTGAAAGGCCATTTTCATGTGTGACTTGTGGGAAAGGTTTTAGGGGAAAACAGAGTTTAACTCAGCACATGATGATTCACACTGGTGAAAAAACGTTTTCATGTGTGACCTGTGGAAAAAGTTTTAGTCAAAAACGGGGTTTAACTAAGCACATGATAATTCACACTGGTGAAAAACCGTTTTCATGTGTGACCTGTGGAAAAAGTTTTAGTGAAAAACGGGATTTAACTCGGCACATGATGATTCACACAGGTGAAAAGCCATAGAAATGTTTTCCACTAGGATTGTTGTAAACAAATATTTTAGTAGTTAAGTAATCTATCAGTTATTCTTATGATTAATTGAGTAATCAGATAAAAAAATTTATAAAATTAAATATTGGTAAATCTTCCATAACACCAGTGTTACTATCGGATATCAATATCAGTCCAATTTTTCATTTTTGAGCTTCCCTAACAGTTACATTTTTTGTAGTTTAGAAAATTAACCTGTAACAATAATAGCTCACTTTCTAAGTTAACCAGAAGAAAAGTTATACAAAGATCTGAAATTATACCCAATTTAATAATAAAGAGCCAGGGTCACAAATATGCTTAGAAAAATGTCTATGATCCAGTTTTTAGTTTATGTATTCATCTTCGGTGAGTTTAACAGATGAACTCTCACCTTGCCCCATACCTGTCCAGCTTTGGGTTTGACAATACGGGAAATGTCACCTGGAGTGGGGGGATTAGAGTGGGGAGTGAGGGGCAAGCGAGCGAATGAACATAAGATGGGGGTAAAGGGGAGGAAACAGACCAGGGAACAGATGACCGGGGGGAAAAGACAACTGAAAAAGAGAAACTAATGTAGGGGTGGGGGAGAGACAACCGGTAGACCAGGGGACGAAACTAAGAACAGGGTGGAGAGGCGGGGCTATATTTGTGATTATTGTCTCCAATAATTTGGTGTGTCGCTTGTCTTGGTTGTATAATTTTTCTATTTTCTGCTATGGCTGTTTTCTATTAAAGATCACCATCGTTTTTTAAAGTTGAAACTAATTTAATCTATGAACATGTACATATATATTTGATTAAGTTTTTACAAAGTCACTTGATCACTTGTATTTCCTTTAAAAATGCAGTGTGTGCTGAACGCTATTTTGTTTATGAAGCCCTTTTTTTTGTTTACGAAGAAATGCTGTGTAGAAACTTTTTATTTTTGACCCATTTAACTTCTGGATTTTATCTAGCAAATCACGTTAGTTGGTGTTAGCATTCATTAGCCAGAGGTTTGTACAGTGCTGTAAAAAGACTTGAGATCATCCCCAGTTTTTAATACTTTTTTAAAATCTAATTTCCAATTGAATCTCTGAAATATATTGAAACATACTTGACTGAAATTTTAATTGGATTGTTCAATGATGCATGTTAAACCTAAAGTATTAATTCCCTGGTTGAAGTTTCATTTATTCATATATTTTAAATCAGTTATGCTTTTGTGTTTCCATTTCTAAGTCTGTCTCTGCTATGCTCTCTTTAGACTTGTACTGTTGTAAATCACCATACTTTATTGCATGCAGATAGTTAAAGAAAGTCTAAAAAATTAAATAGAATTAAAGTTAAAATAGATTTAGTTGATTTTATTAGAAATAATTTGAAAAGTAAAATTTATTAGAGAATATTTTAACAAAAATTAAGTTATTTAATCCTTGAGTGACATTCTGGTCCACACTCCTATATTTCCTATATTATCCGCGGTCTAGCGTTTTTATTTTCTTTTGATATCTGTTATAGCTTCATCTTTAGGAAGGAGTTTCTCTCTCAGCATGTATTTGAACTTCTCTCTTTTATTTACTTCACCGCAGCTCACAGTTTCTAACAAATTCTGTAGCTTTCTGTGTACCTCTAAATCTGTTCCTTAGTCGCATCTTTTCGGGCCCGTTACTGACTCTAGTGGCGCGGGGGAGGTAACACAACTAATATAATTACATTACTGAATCAGAATACCATTAAGTCTTTATTATTAATTCTGGCATTATTGGTACCATAAATTATAAATTCCCTCACAAACACCATACCTTTTCATTTTCTTAAAGTAGAGCGAATTAAATGACAAAGTGATTCCAGTTTCACTTGATGGCCAACCTGTTGAAACTGTGGCTAATTTTAAATACCTCTGGTCATTCCTGGACAGTCGGGTCAAAACACTTAAAACACTGGCTATGATTTTAAGAACTGTTCTCAGAGACTCTATCCTTTAGGAAAGCCCAGTGATCTTGGGGTCACTAGAGGTTGTGTACAAGAGTATAAGTTGAGTATTTTAACTTTTCTTCTCCTCGGCTGGTTTTGGTCACATGAGCTGCAGGTTAACAGACAAACGTTTAAGAATTAAATAATAAATTAAATAACATTTACCTGTAGCATGCTAAGTGCATTACTCGATGCACAAATTGTTCAGGATTCAATCCAATTTAAATGTATTCATCAACAAGCTTTTAACTGAAGGAACATTAACAATTTAAGGAAATAATAGGAGGAAGAGATGGATGATCCGTGCAGACTGCTGGATTTCTTCCAAACCCCCCAGATAATTTTACACCGAATAGGTAGGAAACACCAGCGATTGGATGCAGGTTCAAGTCTTTTTTTGTTGCACTGAAATGATCCAAATCAGGATTGGGAAACACTAGAAGGCTGATTCACAAAAGTAGGATGGCAGAATCAGGCTTGACTTGCCATCAGTTCATCCAGGCTTTATATGTTTCACAAAAAACAAACAAACAACATCCTTTGAAGGATTAGAGGAATTGTACATTATACTCGAGAGAAACAACTGTTTGCACTTTCAGAATCTATTTCTAGAGATGTGAAAAATGTTGGAGTATTATTGAAAAACTAAAATCTAGAACTGTTGAAATCTGATATTTTGTCTGGCAAAATTCTTTATTCATAAGCAAAGACAGCGAAGATCATCCCCAGTTTTTGACATTTTTTAAAATCCGAATTGTATTTGTATTTGTAATCTATAAAATATATTGAAACATATGAATACTTGACTGAAATGTTAATGGAATTGCTCACCGATACATGTCAAACCTAAAATATTCATCCCTTTGTTGCAGTTTTATTTATTATATTTTATATAAGTTATGTTTTTGTGTTCCCATGTCTAAGTCTCCCTGCTATTCTCTCTATATATTACAATTGCAAATTCTGCAAGTCTTTTAACTTTTGCATGCATAAAGTCAGAAAAAGTAAGTCTCAAAAATTGTATTGAATTAAAGTTAAATTTAGATGATTTTATTCACAAATAACTCCAAGTAAAATTGATATTATTTTGTTACCTGAAAAGAACACAGCTATTTAACACGATTTAATCCTAGAGTGACATTCTGATCCACTCTCTATACCAGTCGGTGCTGCCAGCTCCTCTAAAGGTCGGACCTCTTAATGAGTTTTCTGTCAGAGCAGCACCATCAATCAAGTGACTGCAACCCAGTAGCCCTGATGGCTGAGCCACCAGCCTGTAAAAACCCTATAAATGCGCTATATGCTGCTGCCAGAATCATCCCGTCACCAATCTCCCTCCCAGGTGTGTTTCACTGTCCGCAACTCGCACTGTATGAGAAATATGTAGATGTGATGATCGTATGAACCACAAGGTGGCGGTAATGCAACAATATGAATGCCGACCGTCATAAAACCCCAAAGAAGAAGAGAAGGCTGAGGAAGCGGAAAGAAGATGGCTGATGGTCTGTTTTGTTGAACATTCGAGTGTTTCTTTAAACACGTTTATCAACGAACAGTTAATCCTGCTGAAGAAACTTTCACAGAGTTTAAAGGAAACATCGTCAAGTCGGAGGAAGAGATGGACGATCAGCGCAGACTGCTGGATTTCTCCCGGACTCCCCGGATTATTTTACACCGGATAGGTAGGAAACACCAGCGTTTGGATGCAGGTTAAGGTCTAAATATCTGAAACCTTATTTACCAGGATCATTTTAGTAACTGCTACCTTCTCGTATAACTGATTTTTAACAGGCAAACCCTACCCGAAACAAAGTACTTTTGTATATTTCAAATATACTTGCATTTGTGTAAGTATATTTTAAGTATACTAAGTATTAAGTGTACTGTATATACGAAGTATACTAAAAGTATGCTTATATCAATTTTGACATAACTTTAAACACACTTAAATATAATTGTACCAAAATACACTTTTAAGAAATATATTAAATAAAAGTATACTTTAAGTGAACAAAATAAGTATTTGCCCAAGTGCAAATATGCACTTGCTCAAGTTTACATCTAAAAGATATATTAAATATGTTTAAAATACCTTTAAAAGAAATATTTTGTGTATAGTTTAAAATGTATGCTC